CCCTTTTGGATACGAGTCCAGCGTTCTACCACTGAGCTAACCGCGAGTGAGAGGATTTCATTGTTGGACTCTGATCCTGTTCATCTCTTGGATATTTGGGAATTTTTTCGCAGAATTGGGGGCCCTTTTGGACTGATGTCGATGTTCCGCTTACTGATATGGTTGCTGGCATATGTCATGGCAGTCAAAGTGGTGGATGTCTGCCGAAAGGCAGAAATTTGGACCAGCGTAAAGCAGCCAAAGCAGCCAAACAAAGATAGCAGGAGCGGTGTCATAACTTTGAGCGTTTATCAGAAAACATCAGAAGAATGAATGAACAATGCAGCACGAAAGTCTGCGGAAGGTGCTGAATGCACCTTAAGCAACTCGAAGAATGACTACCAAAATCAGGCCACCGACACCTGAGGAACATACGAAGAGCTGTTTTTTGACATACCTACCATGCAGTTGTGGCAGTTCGTGCCAAGGCGAAACAAGTCGCTCCCTGCCGGTCACAATGGAAGAGCAGAGAATGGCAACCATCCGGGTTGAGACGTTCCTATCTGAAAAGACAGAGCATGCATGGGCAGCAGAGAGATGAAGGAAGCATTGGCTAACAATCAGACCGCTGTCCTTCCAGTTAGCCTAATTGTAGAATTCTAGAATGCTAGTTATCACAATTCTTCAGTTTGAGTCTCGCTGTAAGCAAGACAATACCTGATTTCTTGATTTTTCGGCATCATGAGCACAGAAACGCCATGCCTACCGCTATCGCCTTTTAATCACCAGGTGATACTGGTTAAGCGACGTTATCAAGCAAACAGGTTCTGTCGTTAAAATAGGAATTTTCAAGCCGTGCTTATGTTTGCTTGGTGACGGAGTTTAACCAGTACCTAAAAGTATATTGCAAGTCGATAACTGTCAAATAAGAGGAAGAGGAGCTCTTAACTCATAACGGTTTGAACCTCAGCTATTCCAAATGCAAAATTTGGATTGTGACGCGTACGTAGCTGAAATCCGACTGGCATCGAGTCTTTTCTAGGCTCAATAGCTCCGTTTACATAGGGTTGCCAGCTGTCGCCACCTTGTCGAGGATGTTAGAAGAACATCGAAATTATATCAAACCGTGGCGAAATGTAACAGACATAACCAGAATAAGCGCAGCCATGGTGGCAAGGACACCTTAGCCGCGCTTACAAAGCATATCAGAAATGTTTTCACGAACGACGCGATTGGCACGAAGCTAAGCATACGAGCCGACCAGCATCAGCGCGTCTTAAATGGGACGATGCGTTCTCAGAACACAAAGTTTCAATTCCCCATATTGTTTTCAGCTGCGTTAGATCTTCGACACGTTCTTGACGGCAGCTCAACCTATCGCTGACACTCACAATGAAAAAGTCGCAACATAATCTCACAAGCAACCGCCCGCTCCACGAGAGATCCACAAGGTTCAAGGTTTGTAATTAAGGTGTCTGGACGTACTCCACGGCTCTATGTCGAGAGGCGTGCAAACTCAGCTATAACCTGAGTGCCAGTGTTGAGCTGACCTGTTGCCATAAAAGCGCTGCTAATCGAACGCATTTCAAAACTACGCGGGTAAGTTGAAGCCTTGCGTTTGATATACGCCTCGTTTCATACCGGCTGACGCGCTAACGCTGGCGAGCGCATATGCTTAGTTTGTCGAAGTTTTGTGCCAATCTGATAGCATTTCTGAGATGTTATGTAAATGTGGCTAGTAATAGCCAACGACGGTAACTGATAAAAACGGTGTGCGCACATCAGTAAATGGCACGCGGACGGGAGCCGGGGCAATTTGTCCAGCCATAATTTTTACCATTAGCTCATAATTATAATTAGCTCATAATCATAATTAGCTGCAATGTTACTTGGCGCCACAGTTTCATACGAACTGCCGAGCTGCAAGTTCAGGAAATGAAAGAACCAGATGCGAGCAGGCGTACGACACACTGGATGTCTGAGTTTGCCTACGCATGTCTACTTACGACACACCGGATGTCTGAGTTTGCCTACGCATGTCTAATTACGACACACTGAATGTCTGAGTTTGCCTACGCATGTCTACTTACGGCACACTGGATGTCTGAGTTTGCCTACGCATGTCTAATTACGGCACACTGGATGTCTGAGTTTGCCTACGCATGTCTACTTACGGCACACTGGATGTCTGAGTTTGCCTACGCATGTCTAATTACGACACACTGGATGTCTGAGTTTGCCTACGCATGTCTACTTACGGCACACTGGATGTCTGAGTTTGCCCACGCATGTCTAATTACGGCACCGTGAGTGGCTGTTGGCATCCTACCGAGCGCTCACTCTTGATGGGCAGATCGTGTGCCTCGTAGACTCATGCCCCTCAAACACTCTGCGTGGCCACTTGCTGGGTCATACAAAGCATAGGATTGCCAGCGTATTCTTAATGACTGGGCGAAAACCAAAAATTAGGGGGTTGGCGCAGGTAAAATTGTGAAAATGCTGGGTGAGATACATGTGCCCATCCTGCTATGCGATGCGTTGCTGGATAAAGCTACTCTCACTTTTGTAGATTTCACTTAGGGCTGTGGTCTTGCTGAGCTCAGCTGATGGGATCGAAATTTGATAGCCGAGCTCATCCACAAAGTGGTTCAGATCTGAAAAATGTCATACGATTGGCATTCTAAGTTGAGATGCTGTCTGAAATGGAAAGCAGGGCAATATTGCGAGGTTTGCGCCAATCACTGTCCTAGCTATACCGCAGCTACACGGCCACAACTGCAGGCAAATTATCTAGCCCAGTCCCAACGTGTGCTCCGCCCTAACCCTAGCATGTGCTCCCTCGGCAGGGGTGCCACCGGATCTGCCTGCAGCTGCAGATAGTGCGCGCGTGCGGCTGCCACCACACCCTGTACCCGCTGACATTCACCGCGAAGGGCAGGCGGCAGGCCATAGGAGAGGCGTGCGACCTCAGCTATAACTGTGAGCGGCCTGACCAGCGGCTTGTCTGGGCGGATAACGGTTTCAGCGAGGCAAACTCAGTGTGTGTGGGGGGGGGGGGGGGGGAAGGATGAAGACCCACGCACAATATTGGCGTGTTTTGGTCATCAGCTTCGTGTCTGGAGCCCGAATCATAATTCACCCCGAGGTTGTTTTCGGTGTGTCGCAAAACGCGGGTAGGGAGTGCGACAAATGTGAAACAACATTGCGTCGTGTATGTGGCTATTTTGTTCCCCTCGGCAGAGACGCTTAATCAATGCTCAATGCGTTTCTTTCTGATAGCATGACATACGATGACATATCGTCATATGGTGTAATTAGTTCTCCGCAATTGTACTCGCTGTTTGCGTTAAATAACGTTAGTACCTCTGGAAAATATCAGGCCGGACCAAAACATCAGTAATTGATCAGACCTCCTCCATACACTGTAGCAGTAATAGATCAAACTTGCGAATAGTAGCTGTGCTCCAGCTTGATATTTTAAGTGGCGCGCTTCCGCGACGTACATTTACGCCCAGCAGCAGCGGTTTAAGTATACGATGACACGCAAACTACGGGACATTGGACTGCTCAAGCGAATGACCACGCCAATGCCGTTGATGTTTTCCCCCCACATCCATCCATTCATTCGTCTTGGTCCTTGCACTTTGCGCGCCGATTTGACGTTGGGACGTGACAACGGCGTCCAGTATAGTCGCTCCGGCTTCGACCCTCCACCCAGCGTGAAGTGAGACCTCTCACAGATCTCCTCTCCGCATGCAGCACTGGACAACAACTGCACGGAAGCGGTAGTGAATAGTATGAGCACAGACGCCAGCTCTACGGACTGTGGATGTTCGGCCTCCTGCGAGTGAGTCAGCGACGATCGTGGCAGTCGATTTTTGCTCCTCGGCGCTTGCAACCAGCATCATGCTATATATGCAACAGGTGATGCTAAACAGTTCAGATTGTTGCGTTACGAACGTGGGATAAATGTACTGAATTGTCGACGCTATATTAAGCTGGTTATACCTTTGGTATACCCAGCTTGACTTTTGTGTGCGTTTGACATTTTATGCATGTGGCCTTTTACACATTTAACCTTAAAGCGGCTTAGATCAAACGTATTTACGAGGGCAAATATTTATCATATCTGACATATGTTGGGCATACACGTTACGACGGTGCGATAAACATTCAGCGCAAATTTCTAACTTTTTGTATTATTGGTATTCGAAACCATGAGAAAGTTCTGTGCCAGACCAAACGAGGTTACAAAGCGCTGCAGTGTATTGAAGCAATCATGTGTACGGCTTACACAAAGCAGTGGAAGGCTGAACAGGCACATCCAAACTGTACCAGGCATATATTGCAACTTTCTTCACAACTCACATGCAAATGTAAGGCAGCTCAGATGATGCTTGTAGGCAGAAATAAGTCAAGGTCGCTACCCTGCTCGACTTTTGGAACATAAGTTTTGCTTGCCTGCAAGCATTTTCTTCAAAAACCACAACGAAAACCATGTTAAAAGGTACTTATCTGTTGTACATTTATCAGATCCAGCGCGACCTTCGGCCAAGAAATTCCTCAAGGTTGCTGGTATGTTGGTCAAAATCATGGTTTATAATTTTTGATTATCAGGGCTGCAGCTTCTTTGCAATCATGTCAAAAGGGAAAAATAAATGTTCAATAGGTTAGTGGTCATTTGACCGCGGTTTCCTCGCAATTCGGTGCAAAATAAAACATCTACCTTAAACTCAAGGCTATTTTTCAACCAGAGGACTTCATCAAACCCGATTAAGTGTTATAGCAGATAAACTGATGCAATGGTTTTGCAGCAATACTGCTGCAATACAGCCTGCTGCAATACTTTTACGTGTTGAGGAATATTTCGAAATCCAACATTTGGTTGGACGTAGATCTTTCCTTTTTAGACATACTATCAGGAAACCGTGGTTAAGTGATCATAAACTTACTTAAAATTATGTTGCTCGCAACAGCACTGAAACAAGTCACCAGCCAAAATCTGCCTTAAATCAAATGTTGAACATGATGGAAATTAACAATTAACATGGTACAACTGATATTTAGTTCAAGAAGGTCTTACCTATTCATATAAAAACAAGGAAATCACGGTCAAATGGCTTCCAAAAATTCAGTGATTGTTTTGCTCCTCGCAAAAGAGCTGAAAAACTACTATAATGAGGCTTATGTGATGGAGCGCAGTAAAGCATTCTTGCAGATGCAGGTGCGATTATTCCTGTATAAAAGGGCAATGGGACAGTTGACCTCTGATGACCTGCTCCACCACTATCAGACGAAATCAGATCGGAAAAGCGCTGACTTTAATTTCAATCGCATATATAAAACAGACAAAGAGCACATTCCAACTGCCAGCAAGTGAAATGTGCCGTCGATTTGGTGGGAAACCTGACTTACCTCACATTCATAAAGGGGCCATTGATCATGACCTATTCACAAAAGCGCTGAAAATAGAGAGGACGGGCAGAGACGTCAAAGTCAGCTACTGAATAATTTAGCACAGTATGTTTAATGGCTACCAAGCTATTAAAAAAGCTACAGGGGGCTGTCAGCCACCCCTCGTTGGGCGATGGTTAAGATATAACCTGATATTGCCCATCTCTTTGCCAATAAGACATTACTCGATCACCACATATTTACAAACACGTCAGGTGGATATGGTGCAACTGATGACCATTTCATCGTAATGAGCAATAACCACTTTTATATCAGGCGGTGCAGCGCTGCTTTTTTAACCGACTCGTGGTCCCGTGTGCCGAGCGATGACACAGCCCGCTTGCGTCCGCCAGTGAACGGGATCATCAGCCGCAGTTGTCCGTCGCCTCGTGGCCACAGGGCAACTTCCTCACCTCAATTCTTGAGAGGATCGCCTTCGCGTCCACCAGCGACAGCCTGAGCGAAGAGGCAATGTTGCAGTGGGCGCTCCAGTTCTCGAAGCTGAACGTCTACTACCGAGACATCAGCAGTGATGTTATCGAGGAGAGTCCGATCTATACGGTGCGTGTAGGGCAGCAGCCCTGCTACCTGCAGACAGGGGCTGGTATGCACGTGCATTCAGCACGTTTTGTTCCAGGTGGAATACTCACTCTTGGTGCACAAAACTTGTACCTTGTCATTTAAAAAAAAACAGGAATACGAGCGCGGTTGCCTCGATTTGTTTTCAAGTTGCTTACAGCGTTCCTGGCGAAAGCCTGAGAGTTAGCAAACAAGCATGAGTCAAATGAAATGAAAATGGAATGTGAGTAAAGTGGAACTACAACAGACTACTACAATCGCTGTTGGCAAAAAGTGTAATAGGTTCGCGAATCGAAACGGTTTACGTGCCCACATGCATGCCGTTGACCTCAGCTAAGATTGACCGCAACTAACAGAAATGTCCCTTCTGTTTTAGTACACCACTTTGATCGGCAGTCTGGGTGGTGCTCTTTCTCTCTACCTCGGCATTGCACTGATCCTGCTGGTAGAAATACTGGAGTACCTATTCTTCATGGCCGTCAACACGCTCCTGTTTATGTGCGGACGCCGTGAGGACACGGGGCAGAAAAATAGCACAGGCAAGTGATCGGCAGGCCGTAGTGATCATTTCAGAGGTCAAGCTCTGAAGCTTTATGTGAATTTGAAATTGTTGAATATTCTTGCGCGAACGTAACGCTTTTTAACGCCCCAAATTTGTACTTGTCTTTGGCTTTGGGGTTTTACACTGAATGGCTTTTAATGTAGGTAATAATGCCGAAAATATTGCGCGAATATGGTGTCTATATTGTTGGGGCGTGCCCGAGTACAACAGCGAATGTACCAGGCGCAAACCGCTGATCACACAGGTCATAAGGGTGAGCATTGCCAGGTGCAAATCGCTGATCACACAAGTAATAAAGGTAAGCATTGCCAGGTGCAAACCGCTGATCACGCAGGTCATAAAGGTGAGCATTTCCAGGTGCAAACCGCTGATCATACAAGTCATAAACGTGATCACTGCCAGGTGCAAACCGCTGATCACACAGGTCATAAAGATGATCATTGTCAGGCACAAACCGATGCGCCTTACAAGGGCAGCCAATGGGCGCGGTTGTCTCGAAGGGGGCAGCACCGTAGTGTCTAAAAGATGGCAGCCGCATGTCGTTATTATGGAACAGCTATAATTTACAGCTTAGCCTTTAATGCGAGTCTATTTTCATCGTTTTATTTTAATGCAAATAGCTCTAGGCATTGTAAAAAATGTTGTGGGTGGTGACTTATCAGTTGTGTATCCAAGTAGGTTGAAGCAGCTTGGGGCAGCAAACTAAATGCCTGCGCTAATGTTGTGAGCTATGGGGAAACATGCTGACACATTTCGAGCATTCCCGTCGTAGGGCTACCACATCTAAGAAACGCTATCGCGACCGAGGAAAAACGGTCAAGGACATTGCCGTCGTGTCTGACGTAGTGCATGATTCTTTAGGCGTGAAAAATGGCGTGGCTTGGCGTGGACGTGTACGGCATCAATCAACAAGTTTTGAAAGACATTGGTCATTGTCTAGTGGAGCATATGAAGTCACTAAGCTTTCGCGCCCTGACATGACTTCAGTTGCGGGGGCTGCGCAGATTTTGTAATCAAATGCCTTGGGGTTGACGGAGTGACAAGTCTGGAGTTAGACGCCTGGAGCTCTGTCAACTGAGTTTCTTATCGTAAGGAGCTGATGCCGTGCCGCCTAAATGGAACATTCAGATCAACGTGTTGCGAAAAATGCAGCTAAATGGCCATCAAATATTTAGGCTGCTTTTTGCTCCGAATCGGACCAGCGTAATCTTTGTATATATGTGCTCACTCCAGTTTCGACATGAGTAATGACATTTTGCCTTAATGGCATAAGAAAGTGTTACCTTAAGCGTAAGCAAATAGCCTACTGCTACACTAATCCGATTGCTGCAAACCACAGCTAATGATCATAACGACACGTTTCCCCCGTCCGCGCCGATAACCTTCATGTTTCATGGCCGGTCCTTGCTCGCGAAGTGTAGCAGGGTGCATGATCACTCACCCCAGGAACACGCCATGCCAACAACTTTTTACAGCCATTTGAAAATTGACGCAGTCGACAATCGGTCCTCAGGGCGCGTGTTCCGGGCGACAGAGCCGACCTGGAAGATAGCCGTCAATGAGCAAGGCAAGATCCTGTACTGAAGATCCACCCAGCGCGGATCAAGAGGCTCTCCCCACAACCACGGCGCAACAAACGGCAAACGGACGCTACCCGAAGGGAAGGAGGATTCTGGACGGATACACGGATGATAAAGGCTTGACGAACGGACTCTTCTCAGGAGATATGCGAGTTATGGTGCGCGGAGAAACGCAACGTTAGCGGAAGCTAGAATTTAATCGATGAAACATTTAGGCTGTTCATTGTTTCGGAAGATGGCGCATGACTTATTAATTGCATTGTGTTAGATATTTACAAATCGCGGTGCATCATGACCATGTTTTTTATCGCAGTGGCATGCCACCATCGCTAAGATAAGGCTCGATTACAGGCTTTGAAAAATGCATCATTGATTTGTTAGAAATAAGTTTCGTTATGTGACCTGCTAGCAGATCCGCTTTCTCTTGTGAGCCATGGGCATATGTATGTTGTGTGTGCGACACTGCTTTTTGTCAACAGCAATGGGTATTTGAAGTCTGTGTCCTGTGTTTATTTTTCACGGAATATGCTCACTGCATTTACCTTCTATTTATAGTAACCAGTTTTTTAAATGATGCTGTTGAAAGTTATGGCTCGCGTCGTACCACTTAAGGGGTTTTGCACAATAACTTATGACAGGCTTTACCACGTGCACATCTCATCAAAACGGCTGTTGTAATGTCTTATCCGTAGTATCTGCACTAGATGAATATGCTTGTTTGATACCTGCCTTAAACCTGCCTATACCTGCGCTAATGGAAATTTCCCAAAGTCTAGACCTCCATATACATGCAAGAGCAGTTATAAATAGTCTAAAGAACACCTTTGCTTGAATCCTTTGCGTACGGCCGGTACCAGCTGAATCAACTCAAGTGTTTTATGTTGCATTCCCCAAAAACAAATTCCATGTTTAGGGCATTCTTGGTCTAAGTACCATCAGGCGCACAACTTTTTGCACGTTATTCCAGTTTGAAAGATCGTTTTTTTTTGTTTGTTTGTCCAGTGCAGTGTGCTCTAAGCCCCGTTATTTCCTTGCAGCTGTGAATAAATTGCATTGCCTGAGACGTGTTAATCTGGTTCGAGAATGACATCCGTTAGCTGAAGGTGATGGATGCGGAATAAAACGGAGATCGAGGAAATCATGAATTATTCAGACATCACCTGGATGGCTTTTCACCAGGTTGTGTCCAAGTTAGCTGACCCGCTGGGAAAATTTTGATGATCTCATGGGGCAACACATCGAGGTAACTCACGCAGGTCAGAGGAAGGCACGTTCCTGGATCACTTCAAATGCGACGGCTAGCTTGCTGATACTGGGCATGTAGCCACTGTGGAGCGGTACACAAGACACGCTGCCTTTAAATGATACGCTTTGGAGCTCCAAGAAATGTTATGCCAGCTCGCTGAAAATGCATTGCCATGCAGCAAATAGAGTGGCAATGGATCAGTTCTCCCTAAATAAAGTGCAGGCAATGACTCCACAACCCAAGCAGCTCAAACTAAGGGTATTTTGGCCGCCAGTTTATTAGCCAAACAATGGGCACCTTTGATTGGGAAGTTTCGCGACGTTGGACGTCAGTTATGGAGCTATAAGACTTAAGAGATATGGTGCGTCGCATGCACCAGACAACCATATCAACATGCTTGTGGCTCATCTTATGTTCCCTGCAACTCCTGGTTGCTGGTTTTCCGGGGTTGGTCAAGCTCCGCACTGTCGTATCTTGTGAACTGCCGAAGGTTGTGAGACGTAACCTTAGTTACTTTTAAATAAGTTACTAATAAGCTACTTTTTACACCTAAACACGTGTGTTTTCAGCACAACAGTGCGGGAAGCTCTACAGAGATTGCAACACTGGCATGCAAAGAAAATCTTTTTAGTTAGCTGCAGACAATCAATGGCGTAGCCAAGGGTGAGCTTTTGGGTCTGACTCAGACCCCAGCCACCATAAATCGAGCTAGATTCGAAGTCAAGACAGCAGGACTCGCGCCCGGACACAGATTTTCTATAATGATAGATATAAAGATAGATTTTATCTATAATCCCCGATGATAAGACTGTTCTCACATTCACGTCATATAAAGTGGACAGGAACGTAAACCACATGTAAATTGCACACAGTGATAAAAAACGGCGCGACGGCTTGATCTCGATCACAGGTAAGCGACCAGGCGGTTTCTACGCGACCAGGGCTCTGACAGCTGAAGACAAGTGAACGTCTGATGGCGGCGTGTTTCACATGCCAGCCGCTCAGGAAGCAGAGGATCGGCGCGCTGACACGGTGCGCACTCGCGGGACCTGCAGCAGACCGTCAGCTGCGGCCCGAGCGGCGCGCGAGGACACCGGGGCACGACCCGCCACCCGCTTGCGCAACGCCTCGTGCGCACGGGCGTCTGGCAGAATGCCTCGCGCCGTCATCGTGTCCCGTTCGGCGAACATATTAGGCACTTAGGTCATCCCGACACAGGCAGTGCGAGAGATATGCGATCGTGATGATTTAGGTTAAAGAAAATGCGGGCGCCGAAGTTCAGCGTTTTTGAGCAGTCTGTTTCTGTGCAGTTGAGCGGGCACCCCAGACAGCTAAGCAGTAACGAATGTGGGGAAACATCAGCATCTGAGCATTATGCTCTTAGTCTCTGTCGGTACGCGCGTCTCATTCGGGCAAGTACAATCAGAAGGACGTAGTAATGACGTATAATGGTTGGGATGAGATTTTCCGAGCTGAGGGAGCTGGGAAATAGTGTCTGGAGCACAAATAAACGTTGCTTTTGCACTTAAGTTTGTGCATTCTGTGATGTATATTTCAATTGATGGGAAGGGATATCTTTTGGAAGACATATGTGCGCAGCGACAACATTAAACGGCAATACAAATCCCCACTATCGTCGACAATGCTCGTTTCAATAGCGTTTCGAGTAACCGAAATGGCTCCCAAATCGCATCCGCGCTCGTTTATCTGCTGAGGCCCCAGAATGACGTCGCAGGTTTCTTTACCGTCGCGGATCCGCAGTTGTCTTTGCGGGACCATATTAATCGCCGCGGTTTGCGTAAATGGAGCGTGCAACATTTCTGTAGAGTTTTGAACTGAAAGAGCCATTTTAAACATCGTGTGGTGCGGTTCACGGCTGTCCGTCCTTTTCTGAACTACTGTTGTTCCCTAGTTTCTGAACTACACCCCGCGAAGATGTGCGAACCATTTTGTACAGACCATTTCAAGACGATTCAGGCATGCATGACGTCATAGCAACGCCATTTAAATTCTGCTATCTCGCAGGCCATGCGGCATTCAAGGCCAAAAAAAATGTTATTTCGAGCCTTGAGATTTGACGCCCGTGAGCACGATTTCCAAATGCAGTGGACGTCAATTGGCCCTCAATTCATGTGGAAAAATCCGTGCAGGATTCAGTC